TGTTCAGTCCACTCAGCACTTGCTTTTGGTACAGAACTTTCTGGTTCTCCATCATCAGATAACAGAGGCCTTAATAGGCTTTTAATAGGCTTTTTGTCCTATTAAAACAGATTTGTTCAGTCCTACAGTTTCCTTGATTACACAGTTTCCAGCCCAAGGCCATACTTGCTACTGGTTACTACTTAGTGTCCATTAGCCTCTCGTAGAAATTTAGAAAGTGCTATTTGAAAACCCCAAAATACACTTAACTTTTCTTGGGGGGGAAGGGGGGGGAGAGGCACTTTTGTTTTTCCACTAGATAAAAATAGTTGCTACCATCTTCCAGCCAGCTGGTATTAAGGTACCCACCCTACACAGTACTCAGCTGCTCTTTTCTTATGCTCCTTCAAAACACCAGGATGAACACTACATAACTCCAGGGATTTGGTTTTAGTTTCTTCAGTAATCTAACATTTTATAGGTCTTCCATCTCTAATTTTCTGCAAGACTAGGATTTTCAGAGGGTAGTCTTCCATTAATTGTAGGAATACATTGCAGAGTAACAAAACATATGTCTGTTCAATAATCGTGGTTTCCTCAACATGCAGAAGGTGCTAAGAAACAGTACAGGATGATAAAGATAATACAAATCAGACAAGTAAAAGCTCTCAGGATGTCACTGAAGGCTCATAAAAAGCCAGTTGATCAGGAACCTCATTTGCAGCACCTCGTTCGTCTTTTTGGGTGCTTTCAACTAAGGAGTCTGCCTCTTCCTGCCGCAAGACTGGTCTTTGAGAATTTGAACCATTAAGGCCAGAAGACTAAATACAGAAGCAGCACAAGAGGAAAAGAGGAAACAAATAGCTTGAGAATTGTGGGTTGGAGAGAGTAGGGCAGAAGATAAAGAATTAGGTAACAGTTACCCATTACCTGAGAACATAAGGTAAAATAAGGGAAAAATAGTTGGAAAAAAAAAGTGGTTTGGGAAGAGGGCGGAGTTAGTTATTTTTGAAAAAAGGTACTATAGAACAGTTGGATTTCAATCATTACTAAATGACATCCAGGAACTCTCAAGAATCATGCTGACTTTCTTCTGTGTTTTCAGTGGAGTTTGTTTTATCTTTACAGAGAGCTGGGGTTTGCTATTTTCCTCCCAATCAGTTGATACTGAAGGTACTGCATTTTCTCAGCATCTCATCTGTTGCCATCTTGTGACTTCTGTGGCAAAATCTTAACAGTAAAATGCACAAGTACGTCAAGGTGACAGGATCAAGAGCCTAGGAAGACCTGTGTAGTCGTAAGTGACTGAGTTACTGGAGCAGCAAGGAAGAGGGCAGGCAAGTTTGCTGTCCATCAGGAACTCTACACGCTCCTTCCGATTTTTAAAAAGGCAGCTCCTCACCTCTCTCACTGATAGATGCTGTGTATCACACAATAAGATCCTAGATGAAGGCAACTCCTGCGGAATAAGCTAAAATGCTATATGATATCTGCTGGCCTGTTCAACGTCAAGCAGCACACTGTTTGAAAGGTCTGCCCAGTCTCAACGCCAAACTTTCTGAAAAGTAGTTACTACTGTGTAGTTACTACAAGCGCACTCAGTTTTGAGGATGCGAGAGACAAAGTACGAAAGACCGGAGTTTAGATTTAAGTTCACAACATACACTGCCACATACTGACATTTTCACACACCTTCTGTCATGTTCTGTTTACACGGCATGCCTGCTTATTTTATAGTGTCCTATACCAACTCATTTTAAGTAAGGTAATCTCAGAAGAGAAATGAGGCTAGAGATAAACTCTCAACACAGCTACAGGAAACACATCAGCTGAACATTTTCCTTATAACTAAAAGTATAGTTGAAAGTAGAACAGGGAGTGGCAGAAAGCATCTAAGGAAGTTAAGGTTTAAAGTAAAAGCATCAGTGATAACACTAGGACTGTACCCTTAGTCAGAAGCGGCAGATTAGGCTGAATGAAAGGCAGGGGCAATTTGCCCAGGCTTCGGGAATGCTGTTATACAAAAGGCTGGCCTATGAGGTGAGCAAGGACAAAATTCTTGAGTGGATAAAGGAGCAGCTTCAGGCAAGCCTAGCAGCTGTCTCAGAAGGAATGCATTTTCTGTAGGTACAATTTGCTGAAGCAGGTGAAAGGGGGAAGTAAATAAAGACCTAATTCATAGCAAGCTACATAGACTAAGAACAAAGGAAAATAAGTGACTGTTAGCATAGGGGAAGTTTGAAGTAATAGGTCATGCAAAAACGGACAAAAAGGTCACAGCGATTATGTATAGCCTTTTGGATAAAAGGATCCATTGCCAAGTCTCTAGATGTACTTCCAGCAATTTTAAGATGTTGCCTCCAGCTGCAGGGTGACAGCACATCCTGGATTTATAAGTATTCATTTTTATGATGTACATCCTGCATTTTGGGAAACATTGCTAGGGAACATACTCAAGATCTCCAGGGCCATTACCCCCTCACCCTTTCCCTTCTTCCAGCAGGTCACCATTAACACATAAAAGCCAGCTTGGAGGAAGGAAGATCCATATTATTTTCTTTCTTAAAGAACTACAAGGAGACAAATCAGATTAGTCTTTCCAATGGATACTCAGCCAGAATGATCAGGAAACGATCCAATTCCAGTTGACAGAGATATCAACATTCCCCAGGAGTTTGGTTCCTTAGGAGCAGGCTACACTCACAACTTGACAAGTAAAAAAGACAATAGCGAGCCTTTTCAGGCTTTCATCTCAGTGTACACTGTGCTTCTGAGTTACCAGTTTCAGCCTTGGGATAGCTGTTGATTTTTACTTTGTTCTTATTCTAGGCTCTGCTCAGGTTTCCATTTTTTAAATGTAAATGTGAGCTGATCATTTATTTCCAAACTGTCAATAAGGTTTATTTCCAAACTGACCAGCTATGTTTGGGCTCATTTAAACTCAAGCTCAAGATGGACTTGTACAGAAGACGATACATGGCACAGAAGGTTAGCTGCCTGTGCTGTAACTGAAATCTTGAAGTGCTGGTTGCCTCATTCTTAGGAGAACAAAACAGAACAGAGGGCAACGCATAACACCACAACGATCTGCATTATCCAAAGAGGCTGATCTGCTTCCTTTTCTTTTGATGAAGCAGTTGGAGACAGTCATTCAGGGAATAGTAAGGAATGGATGGAAATGCAAGACAAGTGTAATGAAGGCTGTGTTAATCTGGAAGAAGGTAAGATGTACTAAAGGATGTGAACTCATGTATTTAATAGAACACTAAGCACTAAACTCAGATAGCCTTCTCCACTCTGTTGGCTCCTTATTCATAAACCTGTAAGCCACTTTTAAAGAGACCTTGCTAACAGTATTAGCCAATTAAAAAAAAAAGAAAGAAAAAGGGAAAAAAGACACACCTAACTTCTCTATTCTAAATATCTAATTTACAGAAGATTTTTCAAATTCAAATACACTATTGTTCAAAGGGAAAGAGAGAAGTTACACAAATGAATCACGTAAAGATCTGCAGTGTTTTAATAAAAGAAAACGTCTAGAAAAAAAATTAGACAATGCAGAGGTAAAACTACCTACAAAACAAGACAAATCAGCATTCACCCAATGATTGTTGATCCTGGTGACACGAGAGGCAAACTGGGAAGGGCTTTAAGGCAACTTCTGTACTCTCAAATTATAAGCATGGAAAAATAAGAAAAGACTTGTAAGAAAGGAAAAATGAACTAAAAGATGGATAGTAAAGCAGGTTCCTTCTTTTCTCATTTTATGAATTTCTTCTACTTTCCAGAAATCAAATCCAGAGCATTGATTCTAAGACTATTTTACTGGATTTCCATTTGTTTTGCCTCAGCTCCTACATTAATCCAAACAATAAGGGCCTTTAAAGCATTCATAAATAACCTGCTGCTGCTGCTGGCACCTAGGAGCCAAGTGCAGCAATGTTAAGCAACAACAAATTTCATAGTTCAAGAGGCACAGTTAAGGAAAAAGGTTGCTCAGAAAATCATTCTCATTTAGCACAAAGATCCTTAAAAATTGCATGAAATCAGTCAAGTAACTATAGAAACCAATTTCTTCAGCTCCGTATCACACGTCTCACACCTCAATTGTCTTTATTATCGTCTGCTGTCAGATCCTTAATCAGAAATGTGAACAGGCTTGATGATTTATTCAGCAGGGAAAAGAATCTGTAGGTCAAGTGAAAAATTTCACACACACACACACACACACATCTTCAACCTTAGGTACTTTCATTTCATTCTGTTCCCAGTAGCTCTGGGGGCAACTCCAGTGAGATCCAATATTAAGGCTCAATTAAAATAAGCTCCAATTAGTGGAGCTTTTTTCTCTCAGGCTAGAAAAGTCAGGAAATGGATATTGGGAAATGTAAAAAGTCAGCTACTGAGAGGAGGCTGCAGACATAAATGAACTTATTTGTTGATTTCTACAGTTGCTATGCAGAGGCCTCTGGGAGTAAAAGCTTAACCAGTCTAAGCTATAAACTAAAACCCCTGCAGCTAAACATGAACTGTGTGAAACAAGGGCTCCATTCCAGAACAGAAAACTGCTGGGCCCAGAAAATTAAAAGCCAGAGGCGTTTTCCATTTAAAACTAAATCCCAGTACCGCCTCCCAGCCAAAGAATTATAAGCAGTATCAGATTTACAAAACGAACAATTACCCTGGAAAAATGTAGCCTATTGTACAGTCCCAGATGCTAAATCTCAAAAGTTTCTTTTTTTTCTAATCCCACATTATATTCCTACCAAGTGTGCTGCTGTAGTTTACAAAGAACCATTTCTAGACAGGACTAAACTATGAAAATAAAATGTTAAAAAACGAGCTCATAATTCATTGACCTCATTTGAAGTACTGCCCTTGCCTGCAGCAGTTCCTGTCCTTCCCCAAGGCCTCTGCAAATGGTATGCAACAGCAAAATAAACCCTGACCTAATTGCCAGGACAGGGCTGCCAACCTTCTCTCAACACACAAAGGCAGGCATGGTAACTTGGAAGTCCTACCTCTTTTGCTTTCTGCTTTAAACGTAGTTGCTCTGGATCTTCTTTATTGGAGCGACTCTACCAAAGGAAGAAGAAAAAAATTGAATAGAAATTACTAGCATCCAAACACCACAGCATCCGTTAAATATTTAATAAATAACAATTTTCTCTTGTGATTGAAAGATTTAGCTCCAGGGGCAAATGCCTCAATTGTCAGTCAGGTCCAGCCTAGGCATGATGTTGTTCATGTCAGTAGCAGACACTTAAAAGGGACAGGAAGTCCAGAGGAAAAAAAAAAAAAGAAAGAAAAGCTGCACTTGCGCAAGTATAACAGGATTCTTTCAAGTCCAGATTACCCTTCTGCCCAAGTGACTCCAGAATTCAATGTGAAAGCAAAACAAAAAAATGTAAAACAGACAGAAGATCAAGTTGCATCTCATGGTGCAACATTTACTAATCTTTTTCTTTTCTGTTTTTGAGGTAAGGGTGAGGAGGGATGCTTTCTCCTTACCAAAAGTGGCTAAATAGAGATTCTCAAGGGCTAGGCTACCAGCTAGAAGTAGGTTAGCTCTCTGATCTCAGTACAGACAAATACCCATAGCAGGGCCTTGGATCTCATGAGACTCCAACTTTAACAAGCACAGTGAATTCATATTTTGAAACAACGTCATGCACAGATATGGAGAGAGACATAACTGTTTTAGTACCAGAAATAAAGAGACAGAAAGGAAGTTTAAGACTACGTAAATAGACTACTTTTCTTTCACCCCCACCAGCAGGAAGGATCTCAAAAGAAGAGATCACTCCTACCACTCATTTGAAAGAACTCTCATCGTCTTTAAAAGAATACAAAAAGCTCAAAGCATTTTCTGTATGGCCTGAGCCATCCTAAACAAAGTTTTCTAGTTGTAAAATTAACAGTTACTTTATTTAAAGTAGATATTGGAGAAACCAGCAGATGCTCACCAATCTAAAGAGCACCACTTCTTCCTTGGAACGCAAGGACTTCTTACCTTAGCTGCTCGTAGCAATATTTCACGTTCCTCTTCATCCTTTCTTTGCTTTTCCAGGTGATCAAGCTTTTCCAGAAATCTCAGCTGTGCTCTAGTGTCACTAGATATGATGTACTTATCACTCCCCTGGAAAGAGACCTTTTTATAGACAAGCAGGCTTCTACATACACCACTAAAAAGCTACATGGGGTCAAATAAACTCAATGAGAACAATTCAAGAAGTATAGCATTATCTTTTCAAAGCTGAAAAGATAAGTAGGCTGTTTAAGAAAAACTTCAGATAGTAGGTATACATTTACATATCTCCTCTCCAACAAACCATGTTTCTTGAGGTCTGTATCTTGTCAGTGGTTATTGAACAAGTGATGTTTTCAGAATCTAGTTCTACTATCTATTCACTAAAATATCACTCTTACAAAAGGCTCAAATCTTTGTTTTAAACAGCATGCTCATATCTAGCAAACACGCATACAAGACTTTTCTAGGCAGACTGTTAAGCAGAAAAACGAGGGACTGAAAAACAGGAGACCCTCACATCCAAAGGGAAAAGAATATGAGGAGGAAGAAAAATTAAGATCTGGACTGCAGATTCGTAGAGTTTAATGTTCTAGTTTCAGTCATTTACTCCAGAATTTGAATGAAGCGTCATCCCAAAAGAGGGGGGGGGGGGTTTTTTGTTGTTTCTTTGCTGTCTTATAACTAGCCAACATGCTTCTTGAGTTTGGGGGAGGGGAGAAAGGAAGTGAGATGATGCATTAGATACTGTTTATAACTTTAGGAACATACACTCTTGCCTCAGTGGATGCCTTCAAATCATAGAACAATTTATGCTGAAAGGGGACCCATGGAAGTCATCTGGTCCAACCCTCGGCTCAGAGCTATGCCAGTGAACATCAGTGATTAGTTCCAACAATAATGGGACATGCATGCATTAAAAGATGACCAAGGTCCTTTTAGCATAAACTACTGATTTGCACTATTATTTCATCCTCATTGAAAAGTCTGATTGTGCACTAATTTTACTTTACATAGCTGGGAAAGAAGGCAGAGAAAGGAAAGAGCTTAGATACAGCCCATAGCAACAAAAAGCTAATTTTTACTACTTCTGCTCTTCTAAACAGTTTTTCCTTGTTTTTGTTTGTTTGTTAAATCGTGCATTGGCTAAAAGACATTAGGCAAAACAAGGCAGCAAGCCCATTCTAGAAGAGTCACTTTGCTGCCCTCTGTTTGTAACACCCTCTTCTAGCTCACATCCTTGGGTCTTCTCCTTTCTCTCACTTTGTGAGCTCCTCTTATTGAGGAGTTTGTTTTTCGACTTTTATCAGCCAAATACAGTGTATATTTTCAGGAGCCCTTTCTTCTATGCTACTCCAGTCTCACAATCTACATTAATAAAGCGATTGTGATATGCAATTATTCTGGAATAAGAACGGCATATTGCATGGGTATATTTTAAGTATATGAACTATCAGTGACTTCAGTTTCCTAGTTTTAGTTTTCAAATACCCTATATTCATACTCTTCTTCCCAGACCCAGTAATCCATTTTTAAAAGCAGCAGGGAAAGTAAAAGTCATGTTGTCCGACGCTGTTGTCTCCCAAGCTGAAATCTCACAACCCAGCTAAAGTATGAAATCAATCCCTCTCGTATGAGCTTTGGTCCTTTTCAATGAGCCACCACATTGTCACATATAACCAGCTGTGGCTCAGATCACACTTTGTGTTGTAACCAAGGAGAGACTTCCTTCCCAGGGAGAGTCTGTGGTTCTGCAGAGAACACACCTTTCCCCCACCATGTTTCTGCTCTACATTTTCTACTGCTATCCACAAAACATGGTACTTCCTGAATCAGTCTCAGAACATTAGCACAATTTGTTCTGAAGCTGCAGTTTATAGTCCACCATCATGCTGCAATCCTTTTAAAGGGACAAAGAAGAAAGTCATATTACCAGAAGATTATTTTTCAAGGCTGAAAAATATTTCATTTCGGAATGCCAAAAGTCAGAGTTAAATACTTACATTTTACAATCAAATCAAAGACCCTGTGTCAATTAGGCATGCCAGTGACCCAACCAGCACAGTATCATAAGCAGTATCATGAGACAGGAAATAGTGTGCATTACACTATTTCAGTTCATTAACAACAGCTGAAGATGCCCAAAATCAGGTCTTTAAGAGAAGAATACCTGCAGTTATATTTTCACCTATCTACTCAATAGACCTGTTCTCCATGATCAGTTAGCACTGTAACTGCTTAGACAAAAAGTGTTTCATACCTGCTTATAATTCATAGCCATAACAGTTACAAGGAAGCAAGCTGGATTCAGTTTCGTTCATATAACTTAACTTCCTTTTCTAAGACTAAACTGTCCCCAGCTACAACAGTACAATCCCAGTAAAAAATGAAGTTATGCAAATGTAATTGAGGACAGAATTTAAGTCACTCATAAAGCAAGTAGCCACAATATAGAGAGTACACTTAGATTTGTATGTGCCAAGACTGAACTTGTGTAGCTGATAGTTAAAAAGAATCCTTTTTATTTTAACTAAGCTAGAATTCACTGAAAAAAAAGATTTTTCACCATCTTGAAAGAAGCTATTATTTCCATACAACAATAGCACACTAGTGCATCTATACAATCTTGTCATAGAAATTCCTTCCACCACACTTTCTTCCTCTCTGAAGGAATCTACATGCTCAACGCTTTTCTCTACAGTTACACCCTACAGCATGGCCAACTCGCACCATCAAAATTTTAACTTCAAGTTTACACATATTTGAAACATATGCAGCACTGAACAGCAAAGCATTCCCCAGTATGTTGTCTTCAGTGAGAAAAAACCTGTTAAGTTTAAGAGCAGCTGCATGCCTTGTCCACAGTCTGACATTCCTTTTCTAGATTGTCACATGTTTGTAAACGAATCAGAAATCTGACTAAGGCAGTTGCTGTTTAGCACCAAGAGTGTATCCCATGTCCAGGAGCACAAAAACACACACATATGGAAGCTCATTCTAGCTCAGTCCACCAGGCCAGAAGGTGGAAGAGCCATTTAAGTCATATTGAACTATCTTGCTGAGGACAAAGGGCATGAACTACAGAGAGTTACAGTGGCTTAGCTATTATGGAGGAACCTATTGGGCTTTGGTCATTTATATTCAATTCCTAAACTAAATTAAAAACAGAAAAACCCTCTTAACCTCTGCTAAGTTACTTCAGCACTCCGCAGTTTGACTGAGAGCGGGGAGGCTGGCAACCTGGAAGGGCTTACCCTCTTTGTGTTAAGGGGTAAATGCAAACATTTACCTATGGAGCTGCCACTCTGTGTTGCCATAGTCACAGAACAATTTAGGGTTTCCATTTTTTATTGCTCCTGCACATTGAGCAAACATGCAATACCACATACCACAACACCATGACTCTCGAAATCATGTGTTCATGGATCCTAACCATAGAAACATTTAACAATAGTCTTGTGCTATGCAGAACCCAAATACACCAAGAACATTCTCAATCACTGTATCGTCTAATTGTCATTAGCAACTCTGCTCTTGGCTATCATGCTATGTCACATGAATATGCTACCTCAGCAGTTCTCCAAAATATAGGAGGGGAGGATGCAGCTGAACAAAATCAACTAGCTAATCACCTTTGTGGTCTTACCAGCCCTAAATAAGTGCATTGCAACAAGAACTGCAAGACAGTCATCAGCTTACAACAGTTCAAAAGCCTATTCCTTGTTATAGTGAGACCACCATGCTAGTTTTACACAAATTGATGGAAGTTAGTAACCTCCCGTTATTCAACTTTTAACATATAGCAAAAGAGGGTAAAAGTAGGGATGTACATGTTGGTAGGCTTTTACAGAATCACAGAATCGTTTAGGTTGGAAGGAACCTCTGGAGATCATCTAGTCCAACCTCCCTGCTCAAGCAGGGACCTCTAGAGCACATTGCCCAGGATCACATCCAGACGGGTTTTGAATATCTCCAGCGAAGGAGACTCCACTACCTCTCTGGGCAACCTG